AAGAAAAAATTATAACAAAAGGAATACACAAAATATTCAAATTTCTAGAAAGGCTAGTCCTAAAAGCCCCCTATTAACTAATAGCAACTTTGTATATTTGTGGCAAAAAAGCACCAATTTTAAATTTCATTACATATTTTATTTAAAAAAAATGTTAAAAATGCTTTTTATTTGTAATAACTCGCAAATATTTATTTTTGCAGATGCTAAAAAAAAAATCATTTGAAAATTAAGGCAAATATTAACTAACCCCCCCCCTCTTCCCCCCCCCCCCCCCCCCCCCTCCAAAAAGAAAAAATTTAAATGACAGTACAAATTTACATTTTGATGTTAACAAAACACAAAACATAATATTCAGAGAATAATTTGCATAATTTTATGCAAGTAAATTTTATCAAAGCTTTTTACTGCAAAGAATTTTTTTTAAGGACATTTTTGCTTCTGTAACGGAAAAAACTACACAATAAAAGTGACAAACATATTCTTGTAAAAATAAAAGGATTTCAAATTGAATTTTATTAATGATTTTACCGCAATATTTTGATAGTATAATAATATTATGTGTAAGTGCGATGTATGTATGAACAATAGTACTATTGTACAGATATTAGAATTGCAGGTTTCGCATTGACGATTACGAGGAATTTTCATTCGAATAAGGAAAGCTTTTGTAGAATTCTAAAACGATTACTTTCCATATTTATTATATTAAAAATTTTTACGCTTTTAAAATATTTGAATTTTAATATTTTTTATACAAGTCTTTTTTTTGCATTACTTTTTCAACTCGAATAACAAAATAATATTTCCTATATATTTCTCTAAAAATTTTAAACGGCATAAGTGTTCACGCTAAATATTATTAATAAAACATCCTGTTAAGCTTAATTACAATATGGCGAAGAATTCCGTATTGAGTTTATAAAGACTACTTTATTAATTTGTTAATTAGGAATCAATAAATTTGTACAACCTCTAATAAGAAATAGAAGTAAATCAGTGATTCTGCAAAATCTTTTAAATAAAATTTGCTGAAAACACATTTATTTTACTAAAAATTAAAATAATTAAAACAATTTTTCTCTTAATTGTAGTGAAATCTCATAATATACTTGGTAAGAGTTACCCTCCATGTGTGAATGTAGCGGCTTATTTATAATTTTTGCTTACTCACTCTCTAATTTTTTTTGAATTTATCTTTAGTAAATAGATAAATTAATTCCATTAAAAAAATAATAAATAAACAAATGAATAAAAAAAATTGCAAACATTTCAGGAAACAAAGCAATTTACAAAGCATGCATGCAGAACAAAAGCCTAAGTTGATTAAAATAAAAAAATTTTTGTATTTGTATTCTGTATATTGTGTGTGTTTTATCGCTATTATGAATATGATTATTACGATTTTCTGATGTAACAAATTTCTCCTGTAAGAGAATTAAAATTATTAGAAATATAAATTTAAAAAATTTTAATTATTATATGAATTTGTATAAATTAGTGGATATTATGGTAGATACTACGTAGATGATACAAATCTCACAAATGCAAAAAAATTTTAATATTCTGAATAATTTTTAGAATTTTCTAAAATATTCTCCAAAAATATTTGAATATTTTTTTTTTTATATTTGTTTGAAGTGACAAACATCATCCACCGGCAAACTTTTGTGGGTTATGGGAAAATAATGTAATGTGGGAGTATGAGTATATGCCACTCGAGTTTCTTACATTACCTATACTTACAAAATGAAATGACGTTTTCAAATGACTTTATTAATTAGTTTATTTTGACAAATAATAAATTTGTATGGAATTTTATGTACCTATATCTATTATTTATGATTGAGTTTTCAAAATTTTTTTAGCGCAATCGAATATATATTTTTCTTGCATTTTGCCGAGGCCGCATTTTGCCGAGGGGTGCTTTACACTATTGAAATAATGTAAAATAAACAGAAAACCAATATACTGTAGCACTCTTTGGTTGACATTTTAATTATAATTTTTTTATAAAAATTTTTATGTTTACAAGACTCATATTAGCAGTGACTTTTTAAGGGAAACAAAGGCCGAGAACGTATTACAACCGTATCTATTTACCATACAACATAAAATATAAAAGGCTGAATACAATGAATTTTGCGTTAGTTTTATTTTTAAAGAACTTGAAGTTTAGTATAAGTTCTTTAAAAATAAAACTAACGCAACTTTTTGCTTTTAATACTGCAATTAAATTATAAAGGAAAAATCCTTACATAGTGAAAAACTAAATTTTTTTACTAATCTATTTGGGAAGAATTTCAAATACTGGCGGAACAAGTAAAGTAAATCTTTTTCAAATCACAGGTTATAAATAAATCCGACTGCCTAACTTGTTATTGCTGAAATACCGTTGCCGTAGCAATAAATTGTATATCTTATACCTCATAACTAATTAACACTGAAATTGAATGAACTTGGAAGGTAATGTATCTAAAATATTTAAATGCTAGCTGTATATGAAAAGATCTATATCTATTTTATATGTTTTACATACAATTTAATATTTATATATATATATTTAATTAGCACTTCATTTATTTTTCCATTAAAAAAAATTATAATTATTAAAATTGATGTTAACAAAGTGGTGAACTATTTTGGTACATGCGTGTATGTTGCTTATGAGTGTATTGTTGCTTCAAAGTGCTAATTTAATGAAAAAAAAAATATTACCGCACACATGAAATCAGAATATCACACATGAATCATCGCTGCTCATGAAATCAGAAAAAAAAAACAAATAATTATTTAAGACTAAATGATTTTAAAAAAATATTACCCTGGTAGATTTTAAAACATTCTTATTAAAATTGCCGTGGGAAACAAAACGCAAGTTACAGTTTGCAATATCGCGATTCTAAAATTTTAGAAAAATTAGAAAATTTAATGAGCCCTGCCAATTAAAAGTTTTTTTTTGGATTTTTCCTTATAAATTAAAATTTAGCTTAATCGTCTTGGCTGAGAAATATCTGGTTTTAATTGTCAAAAATTTTTAGAATGTTCTTAAGAATAGAATTTTGTGTGATTTCTGATTAGATGGTTTCAATAGAATACAAAATTTTAGCATAGAGAGCTCAATTTTATTTTAAGTCGCCAAATTTATGGTTTCTCGTATGTATAAAAAGCTTTTAGCTTTCATAAATTTAAGCATTGTTTTAACAAGTAAAATATTTATTTTTAATAGCGAAATTGTTGTGCAGCTGCTTCCAGCTTTATGAACCAATTTTATACTAGTTTTATTCAATATTGCAAAGTATGTAGAGGCGTTTTTCTCTTCAATAAAATATTTCTCAATAAGTTTTAAAATCGTGTCATGCAAGCAGAATGAGCGGATCTTGATTAATTTTTCCTTTTTCCTCTCTTACCTTTTATCATGTAATAATATTTTGGAATCTTATTTTTTAATTTTATTTGATGTTGTGTGAGTATAGGTATAGGTATTTGGTAACTTACAAAAATAATATTCTAAACACTTATATGCACACATATAATATGAACACACAAAATCTGAAACTATTTTATGTTTTTGTTTTTTTTTTTTAAGAAAATTGACATTAATTAAATTGAATATCGTTTTTAAATATTTTTAAATTAAATATTTTTTTATAAATTTAATAAATTTAATTATTTTAAAATAGATATTGGTAAATTAAATAAAATACATCAAATTTGTTTTAAATAATTTTAAAATTATAAAAAAATATTTTCAAAATAAATAAGTTGTTAGAGAAAACAGGGTATTTTTTTCTAAATTTGGCTTAAAACAAGCAAAAATTAAATTAGATATATAAAGTTAATAAGGGGAATCGAAAATTGTACGATTCTTCGAACTTCATTTACTCGACAGTCATTTTATCTGACGACTTGTTTAACTTATACTGAAAATATAGATTTGTGTAATCAAAAAAATTTTTATATAATCTGAATTCTTACTTCTATCTTTCAAATTACTTGCTTTAATTTACTTTAATGCTCTGATATCATACGAACACTCAGCATTTTGTGTTAAAAATTTACATTAATAATAAAAAATTGTGTGGATTTGTTTTAAAAATTTACATATTCAATTTATAAACCGTAATAATTGTTATATTCAATGGTTTTTAATGATTTTGTGAATTAAAGAAATAATTTTGAAATTTTTAAAATTCAAAAAGTACCAAAGGTTGGAAGGAACGCATTTTGACAAATCATGTAAATTAAAATTACAAAAAAAAAATACTCTTGTTTCTCTAACGCAAATTTTATAATTAAAATTAAAAAATAAATTTGAAATTATCGAAAAATTGAAAAAAGTCTTTAGTTTCATAAATTTTAGTAAATTTATATTAAAGAAAATAGTACCAAAATTCATTAAAAATTTTAATATTTAAAAAATTATTTTATTGTCATTCGAACAATAAAAATATATTAAAATATTTAAATTAAAATTATTTAAAAAAATAAATAAATATTTTTAAATTTTAAGCAAAAAACTTAAAATAATTTTTTAACATTTTTAAATTTTAATATTTAAAAATTTTTGAAAAAATTTTTATTTTTTATAAAATAAATTAAAAAAAAAATTAATTTATTTTAACAACAAAATTGTTAATATTATTTAAAAAGAAAAAGATCACATTGAAATTTTATTGAAATTGAATTTAAAAAAAAAAAAACAAAAAATTTATTTACAAAATTTTCAATTTTACAATTTCGAAAATTATTCGAACATAAAATATGTATAATTAAAGTGTTTATTTTATAACAATATAAAAAATATATCAAATAAAATTTGTAATTTAAAAAAAAATATATATATAATAATATATACATATAAATATATTATACATATATATATTTTGTTTTTATTCATAAAATTAAATATTTTTTTACTTTATTTTTTATATATAATTATTGTTTTTTCATTATATTTTTTATAAATATTCCGCCTGCCGTTGATTTTCGATATTTACCAAGTTCTTTACCTGCTGTTCCCATGTTGAGTATACTAATTTCTCCAAAATAGGAACCTGCTTTTAATGATGCCATTACTGTTTTACCATTATCTGCAACAACCTGTAATCGTCCACGATTTACAATATACATTTCTTTTCCAACTTCACCTAATATTGATTTTATTTATTTTATTTTATTTTTTGCATTCCATGTTTCAATTCCAGCAATTTCATTATATTAATATTATGTAGCACAGTTATTATAATCGCATATAAAATTTATTTTTATTTTTAATTTAAATTTTCATAATTGTTATAAATTTGTTATATTGTTATTTTTTACCGTATTTCAGTGAATTATTTCGAATTTCAAATTGAATTTGAAAATACGTGACATATGAAGTTAATTTAACATATTACAGTTATTAATTTATAAAATAAATTGTTGATCATTTTATTTCCAATTCATTTTTCAATTAATATATTTAATATGGTTTCAATTTTCAATTTAATTTTTTTAAATATTTAATAAAAATTAATTTTTTTCCAAAATATGCACGTATTTTATATTTTATATGTGCGTGTAAAGCGCAGAGAGAAATTGAAAAAGCAGAATAATTTTTTTTTTTGTTTTTGACATTTCAAAATCACGTCAATCAAAAATTTAAATGCATTTCGTATAGAAAATGTGAGTAGCGAGCAAATATTTAAAAAAGGTGCATAATAACAAAAATTCCATTGCAATTTAACATTTCATGTAATTTCAATTGTTTTAAGTTATTGTTGTTGTTTTTATTATTGTTACATTTTTTTGTTTGCATTGTTTTTATTTCCCAAAATTTCATTTTCATTGTTGTTTTCAATAGACCGGTTGTGGTGTCAAATTTACAAAAGGTTTCGATTTTTTTTTTGTTCCATTTCATTTATTTTCGTTTTCATTATAGAATGTTGTTGTTGTTGTTTTTGAAAAACAAAAGGATAAACAATTTCATTTCAACGGATTGCAATCGATGTCCAGCATTTTATTTTGCATTTGAGAATTGGGTTTTGTTTTTTATATTTTAAACAATAGGGTGAGTGTGAAGGTGAGTTTTCAATTGACATTCACGTAAAATCAATGGCGATATTGTCAAAAAAAAATTTTTTTTATAGAATTTTCAAAGTACAAACAAGTAGTGAAATTCCGAAAAAAAATAAAAAAAATAATTGAATATATTTGAAATTCACGCAAAGGACCAAACCATTTTCCAAAAAAAAAAGAAAAATTTTTTTTGCATAAAAATTAAAATTCATTTATTAAAAATTTCCAATTTAAATTTTGAGTTTCAATTTTCCATATTTTTGTTTCATAAATGATTTTACAAAAATTTCCCAATTAAAATATTTTTCGCAAATTCAATAATATTTTTAATGCAAATCAATAAAATACAAATTGAATGCGTATTGTGTTCATGTCATCGGTTATTTCATAAAATTTAAAGTGAATTTGTGGTGTACACGAGAGAATAGATTGTTTCGGAATTCATCATTGTTTTAAAAAACAAATCAAATTAAAATTTTTTATGATTTTTTCAATATTTTTTATTCATGTATGCGTTTATATGTATAACATGTATTTTTTATTTAAAAAAATACGATGAAATGATTGAAAGTTGAATAAAATTTTCAATTTTATATTAGGAATTTTATTTCAAAGAATATTATATAAATAATTTATAAGTTTTTCCGAAAATAGTATATAGGTAGTAGGTAGCCGGAATGCAATATAGTTTTGTTGTTGTTTATTTTTCCACGCGATACGTGACAAAATTCATATATTTTATTGCACATATTATGCATTTAGATATATTGTATATTTTAATAATTAATATTGTGATGAATGAAATGAACAAGAATAAAATAAATATTATATATTTGTATTTTGTATAAAATATACAATTATTATATAAGTTATTTGTTTTTTTGTTTTTGTTTTTTTGAAAATGCAATTCCAATTGCACGCAAACCGAATTTATAGGTTAATTTGTGGTTGAATAGATATTTTGGTTATTATAAAAATAAATGTAGATTCATTATTTATTAGTCCATTCATTTTATATTCATGCGTGTATATGTAGTAGAATCATTATAGTTATTATTTTAAAATTAAAATTTAATTCCAATTTAAATTAGGTTAGATTCACCAAATAAGATTTTTGTTTTTCCCATATAGATTTTCCATATATATACGTAGATAAAATTTGTGGAAGATGAAAAAAAAAGAAATATAAATAGTAATTAAAAATTATCATTGTATATAAAAGTATAAAAAATTTAAAATTATATTATTTAATTTAGTTTTTTAATAACAAATATCAATTATTTAATATTTAGAAATTTAATTTATAAAATCCAGCTACATATTTTTAATACAGTAGCTCTTTAAATGTTTCAATGTATAAAAAATTGAAAATAACTTTCAAAATTATCAAATTAAATTTAAAGAATTTTTCACTTATTTTTTCGATTCTAAAAATTAAAAAAATCAAATAGTTCTAGAAGAACCAGCGACTAAAAGCAAAATGCGTCCATAAGTACATTATTTCATAAGGAATAACTTCCAATTTCAAAATTCTTTGGAAATATTTCATAAGGATAAGAGTTCCAAAGAATTTTAAAATTGGAAGTTATCGGGCCCGAAACAATAGACAAAGTCCTATTTGGTTAAATTCGAAAATAACCAAATACATTCGTATATCCACGAAAAGACTATAAGAAGTGCTCTTTAAAATTTGTTGAAAAACATTTTTGAAAATCAGTTTTCGTAAAAAAAAAGCTTTTATTTTTCTTTAAACCCCTGGTCTATTTTTATTTTATTAAAAGGTATTTTCTTTTCATAAGCTACGCTTTAAAAAAAATGCTTATATTCTGAAAACTTTCCAATCGCGTTTGAAAATTAAACATTTGAAATTTTCATTTTCAAAAAATGAAAATTGTACGACATTTTAATGGCACGTAGATAATCGTAATTTTTTATAAGAAATGATCATTCAAATAGACCGAATTTCTAGCTTTTTCAGTTGAGGAATAAACGTTTCAACAAACTATTGCAAGACTACATCGCTCTTTCAGTATAAAAATGGCTTATAATAGTAATACCCTATTTTTCAACTCAAAAGCACCATGGGATTTGTCCTATTATTATTGGTTATTTCTTTCTACATTAATGAAATTACGTATGTACAAGAATAGCAAATGATTTAATTATTTAACAAAAATATTAACTTTTAACGTAACCTTGAAATTATAATTTTTCATATACGCCATTTCATTACTCAAAGGACGATGATCAGATAACAACTTTGAAACATATTCTGAAATAACAATTTATATAGTATAACATGTGTTTAAAGGGGTCGTCATGACAAATTAATTATACTCTGTATGATATAACTGAAAGTAGACTAACGAAAAGTAATCGGTCTCGCCCCGAAAAGTATGCAATTTTTATTAATATGTTTTTTTTTGTTTTTTCATTTTGTTCCATAGGTAGTTTTTGGAAAAGAACTAAATTTTTTTTTCAAATAATTATATAAAATATATATTATTTACAGTTTCGTAGCTATTAACTACAAAATTAATTGAGTAAAAGAAGAATCTTAAGAAAATTATCAAAATTAAATTTTCAACTTTCGTTATTTTTATCCTTAAATTTTTAGTAAAACAAGAATATTAGCCAAATGGAAAAGAATATTAAATAAAAATGGCGTTTAATTTATTCTTTTTATTAAAGAATTATACAAAAGAAATAATTTTTTTAAGAGTTAATAAAATGCTTAACAAATTAATGATTATGACATTCTTCTTGATAATAACATTTTTGACATTAATAATATGCTCGTTAATCACTTATAAAATTTGACCATTGTATAGAAATATTTTAATTGTTAATTTTGAATTCAAAAAATGAAATTTTTTCTTTTATTTTCGTGTACAGAATGCGTATGAATTATTCATGTAATGCATTCTATTATCTAGTATATCCAATGTTTTGTATTATTTTCCATAATATCATCATATTTTATTTTCACACCATTTTTGAATTAAAATTCTAAAGGTTTCTCAAAATAAAACAAAAATAAAAAAAAATGAATAAATAATGAGTAAAAGAGTAAATAATATTCAATAATTTCTATTATTTTAAAATAGTATAGCTGGCACTATATTTAACTACACATATATATTATATAATATGTGGAAAGTTCTAAAATAAAAGGATATGCAAGAACAGAGGGACCAATAGAAGAGAATATTATGCTGATTAAATTGGTATATGATTAAATAAAAATTAAAATATGCAAACAATGCAATAAAATATCCGCTTATAAAAATATTCTGTTTATGGAACATATTTTGTATAAGGATACAGGGATGTTAAATTAAATTTAAAATTTTATTAAAAATTTTTTATCTAACATTTCCCAATTGATGGAATACAATATTGATAGAATTTCTATTTGAATCCATTTCAAAAATTTTCCAGCAATTCCTATAGTACATTTTCGGCCTCCATGAAATAAAAATATTAATGGAACAGCGTACATATATGAAAATTTTTAAGAAAGAGTTTTGACAATTTTGAAATTTTAGGAAATAGATTCTATAGTTACAAAGTAATTGAAATAATGGAAATTTGCCCAGGGCATTCCCATTAGTGGAATATTTCTTGTTTGGTACGCCTTGCATGTGCTCTACTATTCTCATATAATATAAGTAACCTATACTATGTAGTGTGGTACAAATAATATTTTACACGATATTTGTAGATAAATTGTTAAAGCGTGATATAATCAGGTTAGCCGGCTAGCAATAATCAGGTTAGCAATTATTAGCGTATTGATAGTAGAAATATGTGATAAAATTGTGACAAAATACACCATACATTCTTAACATTTAAAGCAATATTCATTTGAAAAAGATGTATTTAAGTACGTTAAAATAGAATTTACTATTTTCATGCAAAACAACTCTGCTAATTCAACATGGATACTGAAATATTTTTTTTGGAACATGGAAAATTTTCTGCAGACGAGTTGGGATGAATTTTGTTACTTAGGGAGCTATGGTTAGAAATAAGTTGTTCTACTCTCCAGAACCTTAATAATAATATAATAACTTAAGGTTTTAAAATATACAGCCCTAACTGGAAAATTATGTGATTGCTCGTTTTGTTTACTATGCACCATAGTACAAATGCATTCAAAAGCCAAAATAGTACAATTTCTATTTTATCATCCTGTAAACATTTTATAAAATTTGTTGGTAACAAATTGTTTACGCATATAAAAGAATAATAATAAGGGACATGAATTTAGAATAAATTGGTTGTCAGTGCTCTTTATATGTAGATACACATGTAAACAACATAATTTGCATTATGATATTTTAGCATAAAAATTGTTTTAGATAAAGACTAGTCATGTTCAATTAAAATATGTATAGGTACTTTGAATGTTTGAAAAATGTTCATGTGTATGTTAAAATTATTTTTTTTTGTGGTTTTATATTAAAGGATACAAGTTGTTATTTGTTATGTACTGAAACGATATGATGAATTTGTAAATAATTTTGTAGCAACGACTTGCACAATGTTTACCTACATAATATAAAATGCATTGTTTTTTCAATGATATTAGTATTTTAGGATTTGAACTAATAATAATGAGTATAGTAAATTATGCTAAATACGGTAACAGATATTAATTGTTAGTTAGCTAAAAACAGTTTTCATAAAGGATATTATTATACAAGAACAAAAAGGAAAATGCAAAATATTATGTAATTGTACAATAAATTGCAAAATTATTCATGGTTTAGACGAGAATCTCATAAAATGTGAAAATTTCGTGGAAAATACTAGAATTACAAACAGAAATTTTTCAGTTGGAACTTTATTATTTAATATTTTTTAAGTAGATATGCAATTTCTTAGTCATTTTATTAATAAAATAAAATTCAAATAAAAATATAGTTATAAAACAAAACAAGAATAGTGCAAGTTTTTTTTTACCTTTACGACAAATATAATCACCAGGTGAAAATAAAACTGGTCTCAATCGTAATACCAATTCACAAAGGAAACCAGCTTCAGTATTTTGAAATATTTCAACTCTTTTAAGTGTATCTAAATGGACGTTAATAGCTATTTCAGCCTATATTTTAAATAAAATCAAGAAAAAACAAAATATAATTTAAATTTTTTATTGAAAATTTTCAATTTTGTATATTTGCGAGCGACACATAATTAGATTTCTATTGAGTTGTACAAAATGTAAAGGTACCTTTAATTTATCAGGAAGACAGGATACAGCTCGTTCTTCGTCAGAGCATTTTTGTGTTAACCACAAATAATCAAACCATTTAATTACTTTTACTTGAAGGTGATTTGGTACTCGTCGCATTCTCATATATGTTTTAACACCGTCAAGTTTTGCTGTAAAATAAAAATAAAAATATGTACAATAAAATATGAATTTTATAATTTATAAAAATAAATTTTATTTAATTGGAATTTTAACAAAAATTTTTTTTACAAGAATTTATTTTTACCGAAGTAGAATTGCGTATAAGATTCCGAATCATACAACATATCGAGATAACATGTTATAATGACATTCTCAAATTGCAGTCATGCTGCTATTTTTAATGCACAAGTTCGTTTTATTTTCTATCTGTCCGTATACTCGTGTGCTTACAGTGAGGTTCATAACAAATACACCTTAGAGAAAATATTAATTTTCTAGAACAAAATTTTAATAACTTTAATGTCTCCTCCCCGTCAATTTCACCCGTGAAAACATTTTTTCAAATTTTTGAAAAAACAGAAACTGAAGCAACTTTCGTATAATATAAACGTAGAATGTTATTTTCTAAATAACAAGATGAATTATTTTGTTCTTTCAGAAAAAAGTATGAACAGCAATGCCAAGTTGTTGAATGCGCTCTTCGAAATAGGCGTTAGATTGTAGATTATTGAAGCAAAATATGAGCAAAGAAATTTCCCCGCCATTGGAGCTAATCCTGCTTTATTGTAGCCCTCAAATATCCCACTTAAACCATTTCGGTTCAAAGTAAGTACCCGGAGATAGCCCCCAGGAATTAGAAATGAGCTCCCCAATATTGAGAAAATTCCGCAAAAACCATCTGCAACTCTTGACAGCCAGAGCAAGACAGTTACACAGATGTCCTCTCGTCATCTTGGCAGAATTCGCACAAAAGTTAGTCCGATTTGCCCAGTTCGTTCAGTGAAGCAAACAGTAATCCGATTCCGGCTCATCCCAAGCATCTCTGAAGAGTCCTTTCTTGAACAAGATGGAAGGAACAGTTTCGCATGATGAAATTTTTCACTAGACTCCGAGTGAAGATTCGATTCCCCCTCAAGCAGAACGATAATTCTGTCCCTAACGATTGACATTGACAATTCAGAGAATGAGAAGAACCGAATGACCTCACGCCAAATTTGATAATATCGCCAAAAGGAAATTTGCCATTTTACTAACTATGGGTTTGATCGAGTACATTTTTGTTTTTAAATCGAAAACTTTTATGTCTTATAAATCATAAGTTAAAATTTCATTTCCAAGATAAAGTCTTAATATTTAAATTTAAATTCATATTAACAATATTAATTTTTTATTTTGTAAGAAAATGATTGCTGATGTGTAAAACCGCATACCGAAGGCAAAAGCTGAAAATTTTAATTTAATTTTTGAACTAAATTTTATGTTGGTACTTGGTACATACGATAAACACATTTATACTTTTATTTTCAATTGAAATTTTTTTCTGAAAATTTTACATTATTTAAGTAAGTTTTTCAAATCATTTCAAATGCTTTTTTTTTGTTTCATCATTTTTCCTGAAATCATGGTTCCATTTTCCTCAAAACTTTTCATTCTCCTTTGGATATACTTTGTTTTTTCCACTTTTAAATATTATTATATTTATTTGACTTTCTCTCTTTTACAATATTATAATACACAGTTCTGTATACAGTTCCATGCCTTTATGCTATTGTTAAAATTAAGCCTTTAAGGCATAATTAGAAATCCTTTGAGAAATCTCATTTTATTTGACAAAGTTTAAGTTATTTTTATTGTAAATTGTTGTTTCTTAACTTTTTATTTCTTTGTTCTTATTTCATTTTCCCTGTTAAAATGTTTCGGTCTCAAAATTTATTGAAGGGAACAATTTCTATATTATATTATAAGAATTAAGATATATTTAATTGTACACATTTTAATATTTTGTATATTATTAAAAATTCTTTTGTTTTCTCTCTAAATTCTTAATATTTAATTATGTGTGTATGTACACATGTTGAATATTGTATGTATTTTCTTATTTTTTTTTGCCATTATTTAATTCTTTTCCCACACATAATAAAATATATTTACATAATAATGTATAATGTAGCTGAAATTGAAATGTTTATGTACTTGAAAGTGTGTATGTAGGTACTTAACATAAAATTTGTAAGACCTACATCATTTCTCTTATATTAACTAAGTTATACTTTTCTGAATTACAAAAGAATAAAGTGAAGGCAGAAATAATAAAAGAGAAAACTATAATTTTTATTTTTGAATCGAAAGCTTGAAACATTAAAAACTTTTTTTGTACTTTTAAATGCTTATAGTCTTTGAAAGTACAATTACTGTTTTGTGAACAAATAATTATAAATTTGTATATTAAATTAACAGAATGGAAACTCCGGGTGATGGAACAGAATTATAATAAATGAAAACGGAAAATATAAGTTAAATGGTAATTTAAATTCTGTTGTTAAATAAGAGAATTAAATTTTGTTATTAATTTACGAGTATATTAAAAGAATTGAAATAACTGTTGTAAAATTTAACTTGCTTCTCCCACACAGACTTGCATTTAAGTTCAAGAATCAAAATTTTTTCAATAATGAATAGTTTCTTTATTATGTCATCATTTTATTAGAATTCTAAATTTCACAGGTTAAAATTTGATTTTTGCAATATAGGCGTTCGACAGACCTCCAACAACTATTACAGTAAAAACTGTAATCGGAAAATGCCATATTTAAACACATTCGTCAAAGCATAAATCATTCAAACTAAGTTGATTGAGAAACAGGATGTAAAGCTTTTTATTATAAGATTTTGTAACAGAACTATTTAAAATATACTTTGTATAAATTATATTTAATGGTCTTAGCAATTTTTACAAATCTGACCAATGGTACAGTGGTTATTATTCCGAAATGTCTTGTTGAAATGCTGTTCAAATCACTATTAAAATTATACTTAAAATTATAAAACTTTAATGTGATTCAATATTACAAAAGTAGTTGCCTGTGTATCCAATAATATTCGATAACTTTTAATATTAAATATAAAGACAGCACAACGGCAGGCTAGTCACTTGCTTATAGATAACACAAATACGATTTAATACTCATTCACATTCATTTTCACAAATTGGTGAAAACATAATTAGATGTTTCTGTTATTTTTCTGGATCTTAACTATAACAAAGTTGTTAAGCAAAGTGAGAAATTCAGTTGAAATTTCTATAAAGTTTAATATTTTACAAATAAAGTAAGGAGACTAAGAATTGCTTTACTGCTTCTCTCACTAAAATATACGATAGAATGCTTCATTAGGATTTTTTTTTCCTCTTATTTCAAAAACTTTTGTCCTTCCAATCATTAGAAAAGGTTTCCATATTGAAGAACAATATTTTCTTTTTAATATTCTTTCTTTCTTTCTTAATTTCTGCAAATTCTCCTTATAATGTACAAATCAAGAACATTTAACATTATAATCTTCTGCATGGGTCACTGTTACCTAGTATTAATATTAACTGTCGGTCTGCCCTAAAACATTGTTAACGTTAAACGTTATACTTGAGGAGAATATAAAAATTAAAAATTAAAACTATTTTGAAAAACTATATGGAAAAATTAAACACTCGAGTAATCACAGAATTTTTGTTACTCTATAGTCTATAATGTGAGACCTTAAAAAAAGAGATAAAAAATATTTTAGATTTTTCCTGGAATATCAAAAATAAAAATTGTATTTTACTTTTTAAAAGCAGTCAGTGGCTAGAAATTTTTTTATTCTTTTCCAAAATTAAACCCTTCTTTTTTTCTTTCCTCTCAAATTTTCCATTTTCTCAAATAGTTTATTCAACTTTATTTATTTTTATTTTATGGTAACCCTCAAACTAAATAATACACAAGAAAAAAAAAAATTATAAAAATACACACAGAAATAAAGATCAAATTAAGAAAACATTTTTGTATAAAAGTGAAAAAAAAAGTTTAATTTTATTTGAAAAGCAACAGGACTCACTGAAATTTCAAAAAGTTTTGTTATTTAAAGACGATATAAGTGACTTTTAATACAATTAAAACGATCAAAATTTTATTGAACAGCCAGTCTTAGCAGAATAACAAATTATTAAGCAGTGTCGCAAAAAAAAAGGATACAAAAATTTCCAATTATTTTCCATGATTTTGTTAAAGTAAAAAGAAAAACTGCATCGTGTTATTATCTGAATTCATTGTAAACCGCCGGCCGTACAGAGCTGAAGGGTCCTTTTGAAATATAAAACGAAATTTAGGCCAAGAGTTATAAAAAACTTTTATTCCGAAATTGAGAAGAGTTTTAGAAACTTTCATTTTGAAATTTATGAAGAACACAATAGTTTTTACAAAGCATTTTTTTAGAATGACAATTAACAATCACCACAAATACTTTACATGTAATTTATAAGCATTTGCAAAAGCATAATAAAGAAAAATATTGCTGATGTAGTGAGGAACACCAGTGTATTCAACTGTTTCATATTGGCACGCATGACTTCAATACTTTATCACAAACTTAATCAAATAGCCTGATTTTACCGCATACGCTTTAAAAGATTTCTCTATAAAAATTTTGAGAATCTAAAAAAAAAAAATAAAACTGTAGCCTTATTGCTATAGATATCCATAACTATAAATATATCAGTAGACACGCCAAATATGTTCAACATATTTCAACTTTGATATTTTGTTTATACTTCATTGTTAGTTAAGAGTCTGACCCTTACCAAATGCACTTTTCCATTTTTATCCTTTTCAAATTGGACATTTCAAAAGCTTTCCTTTTTTTGTTTTTTCTTTTTTAGTCAAAGTTTTTCAATGATGCTTTTCTTTCCAATTCAGATAATGGATCTGTTCATATTTTTAGTGTTTGTATCTTTTTTTTTTGTCGCTTTTCAGTATCGTTTATGTTCGATGAGTAAGACCTATTTCTATTTAACAATAAATCATTTTACAAAAAAGTGGAAACTTATTTTCCATATGTTCTAGAAATTTTGAAGCATCAGAACGCTTCATATAATTGTTGCTTGCTTTTATCTTATAACAAAAAATAATATTAACAGAGGTATTCAATACAGGCTAATGTC